TACGGCCTAGCACTAAAAATTATGGTTTGGGCCACTATCTAGTTTGATGGCCGTACTAGGGCCAAGGCAGGACCGCCTTGATTCGGCTCGATCTAGCCCTTATTTCTTTATTTCTTTTTTGTTTTTGCTTAAAATTTATTTGGCTTAGTACTAGATCCTCTTTGGTCTGGTCTAGGCCTAGGCCACCCTTAGAGGAACAGGGCCAGGTTAGGGCTAGGGCTAGAGCTAGTGTTAGCCCAACTAGCCTAGCCAAGCCAACTCTCAAGTCCACTAGACTCGGTTCCTAATAAACCAACCTGAGCCCAAAATATTTGACTTATAAACATTTATCGGAAGGAGCATCTCTAGTAGATCTGTATAACATCCATAAACTTTGCAATTTGCTTGTTTATGACTTGTGTCGCGTCATTTATGATCCAAGCCAAGCTCAAACTGCATGTATCAAGCTCGACTCAAGGTCATCCTCCACCATGGTGCACTCATGTTTATCTATATAAACAGGATCCTGAACTCATACTTTACTTTGTTTTCATTCCTAATCCATGTAACTGCCTTATCAGCAGAATTCTGGCCTTTTGTTATTTCACTTGTTTGTATTTTGCGTGTCATATGAAAGACATGGTCCAACAAGAAAAGTTGTTCTCTCTCTCTCTCTCTCTCTAATGTCATGTGAATCATGCTATTTGAAGGATAAGACCCCAAAAAAAAAAAAAAAAAAGAAAGATGGTCACTACGTATATCTCATGTCTCCAGTGAAAAGGTTTCTGTGCACTTGGGCCCATGCATGGTTGAGAAACTAATCGGCCTTTTTCCTCCTCTCACGAGAAAACACTTATCCACCAGCTTTTTTGTCGGCTCAAAACCCCAGCTCCAATTGCTAAAATCGACCCGGAATTAGTCCTAGGATAGGTCAATGTGCAGCACCCACTCTTAAAAAAAACCGGCCAGCTCGAATTGGAACAGGCAGGTTAGCTCGGAACCGCTAGGGTTCCGAGTCCAGTTAGGGGTGGTTTCGGGTTCTAAAGACCTAGGCTATCACCCCATAAAATGTCCGGACCAAAACTGGCAGGTTAGGGGTCGAACTGGCCATATTTATGTCTAGCCGGCTAGTTTTGATCTAACCAAACTGGTTTTCTATTAAAACGATAGTTTTTGACAAAAAACTAGCAAATCGATTTGCAGTAGTTTTTGACAAAAAACCAAGCTCGTTATTTGCAGTAGTGCTTTTTTTTTATTCGATTTCCTGGCCATTTTTTGGCCTTTATGGTGCTTTAGTGTTGTAAACCATTATTGATTGTCTATAAAACAACAAATTTCAAATCAAAGATAAAAAAAACAATAGTTCTTGTCGATTGAGGTGGCCGATTTTCTAACCTTCTGACATTTCTGCCATTTCACCAATTTCTTCTCCAATAGATAACGACTATTGATGAAATTTGAGAGTTTTTTTAATCATAATTGAATTGGTTAACATATCCCTGTTTCAATTTGTTCAACAAACAAGATATAGGGGGTTGATTTTAGCCCGAAAATTTGCGCGAACAACCTGTGTCCGAGCTGCTCGAAGAACCCTAATTCGATCCGCCATTTCATTAATTTCAAATTCAATAGCTAACAATTATTGATGAAAGTTGAGGGTTTTGATTCATAATCGAATTGGTTACTATATCCATGTTTCAATTTGTTGCTCGAAGAATGTGTGTTCGATCCAAAAAACAGATTTTGGATCAATTTAATGGTCTTTTTTATCAAATTGATTTATGGATTTTGATCATCAAGACTTCGTCTGTCATATAAAATAGTTATGTTGATTTATACCTGAGTAAAAAAATTTATATGAGTTTATTTCTCACTTGATGTCATGAAAATTTCATAGGTTTGTATTTTCTGAGATGTTTTCAATTATATAAAAAATACCGAGATGGAAGCCTTTACAAAGATTTTGTATTGATTTGTTCGATCTTCTGAACATTGACGGTCGTTTTTGCTTGAATTATTGCTCGATTTTAGGAGTTTTTGAGAAACCGATTTTTCAAACAAAATTAATTTTACTTAATATTATTAAGTTAATAAAATTATTTTTTATGATGAATGTGGGAAGTATTTTTCTATTTTGCTTACTAAAACTTTTTTTTTTTTGATAAAATTATGTTTTTATGATAAAAATATGCTTTTTGATGAATATGACAAAAAAATCGATTTTTTTTTTTAAATATTAAATTTTTTCTAACGAACAAAAAAGTAAGTTCATGATAATAACGGACTTACTTTTGCTTCATTTTTTTTTTTTTTCGATTTTTTTTTTCAAAGTGCATGATATAGTTATATTTGTAATAATGGAAATGGTATTGTAATTGTAATTGTTGTTATAATGGAATTGGGATTGTAATTGTGTAATGGAAATGGGATTATAATTGTGTTGGCAGAGGCAATCACAATTTCAAACTTTTTTTATTATCAAAAAAAACCTTGATCCTACTTTTTAAATAACTGTCTTGGATTCTGATATTTACATAACTGTCTTGGATTCTGATATTTACTTAGGAAAAACACAAGAGTACCCTGACCCCCCTTACCACTCTCATTACAACTAGCCATTGTTAGATGGACTTTGTAACTCCATCAATTAAATTAATGTCAAATTATAAATTGTTTTGCATATCTCTATAGTATTCACATATTAATTTTGGTAAAAAATTATTTCGAAAAAACATTTGTAAGATAAATGTAGGTAATAAGGGAATATACGCTTAATCTAAATTTTTCTTGTTCTTTTTTAATTTTTGGGGGGTTTTTTATCCTTTTTTTTAAAAAAAAAAAATCCATCGAACCAGTTAGTCCAGTTCCAGTTCTAACCACTCCCAACTCTATGTCCAGTTAACCATTCCGGTTCAATTTTGTGAACACTAGTTGCACCCAAAGTTGGGCCATGTTCCCCTAATTCCCCTTCGGAAAAAAGAAGCTAGAATTTCAATATGACAATTACGAAGCGTGCATAGCATGCTATTGTGGGAACATACCATGCATTTGTCCCCCCGGGGTAAAATAATTTGTCAAAAAAAGTTTTAGAGCTGGAATCCAAATTAGTTACCGATCTAAGTTACTATAGTAAAATTTGGACAGTTTTTTTTTTTTTTTGGGTAAGTCAAACTTTTAGTGAATAAGATACTTCGATTTAACCAACCATTACTCAATAAGATGTTAATTTCTTTTTTAAGACAATTGTAATGCTATGATTTTTTGTTTCTCTTTTTTTTTTTTCTTCTCGCCAAATAATTAAGTTAATCAATAGGGTTTATCTAGAGGGCTATTCTCTCAAGGGAAAGCTAGGGTTTATCATTGTTTTGCATTAGGTTGAGGCTCACATCTCTAAATAGTGTAAAAAGATGATTTTTGAGTAGCAAAAATATTTGTGATAGGTGTAAAATGTATTATCATCTCTAATTATAAAATTTTAAGCTTCAAAAATAATGTAGAACGAGTAGATCTATAAACACACAAAAATATCGAAAATTAACAGCCAAGATAATGCACTATAATATGCGCAATTTCCAAACTTGAAATCTGTTTTTTCTTTTTTACATCTCCAGGTCAAGATGATCGATTTAGGGTTTTTGACATCGAAATAATTTTTTCTAGTGAATTTTTGAGGTGCGCCTTGTTTTGGGTTTTAACCTTACATAAATGTTCTCCTTTTCCTTTTCCTTTTGTGACCTCAACTACATATAAATTATATGTTACCCCACTTTTCAGCCGTTCGATGTGAATCGACGGCTAGGATTGCTCATGTCACAATTTCATGCCAAAACCTATTTGATTTTTAATGTTTTTCTACATAACTTTTTTAGTTGAAATTTGGAGTATCCCATCTGCTTCCTAAGCTGCACCTAGAAAAATAAAAAATATATCTCATGAAAAATAAATGACCAAAATTTCCTCGAAAGTTATAGGGTATTTTAGTAATTTTTCATCACAAAAAATATTATTATTATTATTTATCATGTGCACCTCCGTCCAATGTGTATATGCCCCATATTTCGTTGAAAATGATTTATAGAATAAAGCTTGAAAATAAAACATTGAGCCGTTGGATCAATATCCGATGCTCAATAAAGCTCATGAGATTGCGACTCAAGCCATCTCAACCATCTACTCAAATCTGACGGCTAAGATCAAGGAGTCATATATATATATATATATATATATATATATATATATATATA